CGTTATAATGTGACGGTCAATCCCACTATTCGTTGGTAAAAGAGTAGCCCAAGAGTTGGCGGTGGGTGGTGATGACTAGCTGCCTTCCCTCTAGTCTTACACTGCTAAATTAGGGACGGCTAGCGCGAAATTCAAAACAAACAAACAAACCCTACGGTTGACAGAGCGCAGATAACTTATTGTGTAATTTGCGCTCAAACAAACAAACAAAAAAAATCACATATAGCATTACTTTGTTCATCCAGCATGTTTTATTAGGACTGACACGAATTTAAGTCTTGATGAAAAACATGAAAATAGTCCGAATATTATACATTTACTTGAGCTCAGTACAATTTGCTAAACTTGTTCCGCGAACCAAAAACATGTAATTTATCTGAAAACAATTACGATTTAACCATGCTTTTGGCTACTTACGTTTTATCAAGTCTAACCAATGAAAAGATTTAATAAAACTAACTTAACAGGAACTTTCCCAAGTATAATTGAACCGTACTTGATATTTAAATTATCATATTCAACAACTTTCAAACCTCCCATCTACAAACTAGCCTACAAATTGTTAGAAAATACTCATTTGAAAAACGCGCACATTCATGTAAATGTATATATGGTACAGAATTTTTCAAATGTCGCTTTTCACATAAAGGAAATTTGAATGATATAATGAACCAAATAAGTTCATGTCATTTGAGATTTGTAGTTTGTGTATGTATAAAATATATAGCTATAGATGTTAATATCAACATAACTGTTGTGATTTCTTCATATGTAAGATTATATAAGTTTGTATTCTATTAAACTTGGTTATGATGCCCTATTTGCAACCTTTGAGTCGCGGGATCGAAACCATTGCCGAATATCTTTGAGGACGCTATAATATGTGGTCAATCCTACTTCGTTGTTAAAGGGTATCCCAAGAGGAAGCAGTAAGTGGTGATGTTGGCTGCTGCCTTCACTCTAATCTGTCACTTCAAATTACAGACGGTTGGCTCAGATAGCCCTCGGGTTGCTTCGCGCGAAATCTATTATAATAATACTCAGTTTTCGTCTGTCCTGAAAATGCGCGCGCACCTTATTATCTAAATGCGCATGGGCGCACACTTCATTTCAGCGTATGAAAATATATACTTTAATAGACATTTTGTGCAACAACATATTAAAACTTATCAGAGTTTTCAAAAAGGTTTAACGTTAGGTCGTATAATAACATTATAAGTTTATTTATTGATGTATTAAGTATGGTAAAGTAATAAAGGCTTAACTAATGTTAAGCCTAAGACAAGTAGACTTAAAGATTTCGGTGTCTGCGATTAAAATTATTTTGTATTATTCTCGAAATCCTGTATTTAATTAAAGAAGTACTGTTGCAATAAAGATATTAATTTGACCGCAAATATTTTGCGGGTCTTTGCTAGTTCACAACACAACGCTTTAATATGAACACTTTGGGAATTAAAATAGTCTATGATGTAAACAATTATAATAGTAAAACTAGAGTCGCTTAGATGCCTACTTTAGGCTAGGAAGATTCTCCTAGACACTACCCGTGCACTGAGCCATACTAGAGCTTTAGGGTCGTCTTTTGAATGATGGCTTAAATAGTGAAGAAGAAAGATGCTTAACTGCAAGACCTCGAAGAACGCAAAGAATCCCAAATGTTTTGAGTGAAATCACAATAAAATATGTTCTTTAGGTCAAGCTGAGTTATATTCTATCCAGGATGGAAATGAACCACAGTTTGATAACATTTAACTGTAGATTGCACGGAATTGTGATCAGTACCAGAATCGGAGCCTAACAATTTGAAATACTTCATGTCTAAGAGCTGAAAAATACCTTTGTAAAGGATTTCATTGAATTTTTATAAGCCAAGTTCAATTAATAATGTGAACTGTATGAAAGGTTTTAACTGTTGGACTTTTAAAGAAATTGCGTAACGTAATAAGTAATTGGTGCAGCTAAGGCAAAGTTACCCTATTAGACCATTATTATATAGAGTTTTGAAATATTATTTACACGGGTTTACATCCAAGTATGCAAAGAATTTGAAATAAAATTGTTTAAATTATCTTCATTTAATACCATTTTAGAAATGTATTGTGTAGGTTTAAGTCACGCCATTTTTATAGTCATAAGATTCAGTGGTTCTCAAACGTTCCAGACTCACGTACCACTTTTTGTTTGATTTTTTAAAATTACAAAAAAAATACAGGTCTAATTTTTAAAAAAGATAAAAAAACCTAATAACAAAAATTCATATTTTTAACACTTACCCATTAATGCGAAGGATGAGATTGTTTTTTCTGGCACGATTGAAGAATATGTCGTACCATTTTTGTCAGTTGGAAGTGAAGAAAATATTCAGGGTGAGTCTATAAGTGATAAGAGTAGTAAGTATATGTACGTGGAAAGCTCGGATAGGGCTTATTACAAATTTTATTATTTTTTATATTAATTATGTCGTGTACCATCTACATTAGCTCCACCTATCACCAGTGGTACGCGTACAACAGTTTGAGAATACCTGCTCTAGAGAATACAACTAACCTAGGCTTTCATGCTGTTGAATTATAATAAATGTCTGAAGTAACTAAGAATCATCTGAATATTAAAAGAAAGGTTTGTACCTTTGTTTGTAAAGGATAGGTGATAAGCCTCCAAACCAAGGTCGTCTGGCTGTAGTTGAATTAAATCATGTGATAATTGTTTTTTAAAAATCGTGTGGTCATAGCTAGATAAGCGTATATGAGGACACATAAGAAATATACTGGTCATAGCAAAATAAACGCATATGGGGGCAAATAAAAAAATTGTCTGGTCATAACTACATAAAAACATATGGTAACAAATAGAAAAATCGTTTAGTCCTAACTAAGTTATGGCATATGCTGATATTTAAGAAAAATATTCTGGTTATAGTTAAATAAAAGCATATGGTAACAAATAAGAAAAAACAACTAGTGATATCTACATCCGTTAGCGAATTAAAAATATTTAATTTTTGTCTTCTCTTTCATCGCTAAAAACTGTTCTGTACGTCTCAAGCTTGACTTATGGAACATACTGTTATTTCGACTCATTACTCTGTTAAATCTATCTTAGGAGGTTCCACTTCTCTTCCGCTATTCTAAACAAAAGAAAAAAATGTCTTATTTGCATTGTGGGAAGAGGGGATAATTTATGTTACTAATATTTTTAATATATTTCAAGGAAGACGATAAATTATTTGAACATTGCAAGCAAGATAAAATTGCAATTGCAGCAAGATTTATTTTATACTTTTTTTTGTTCTGTGTTTTAACAAGTAACTGTCATGTATTTTGATTAAAATTAACATATTATTATTATTACCCCTTTTTTGACGAACATAAAAGATAACGTGCTCATAAAAGTTTGGTTTCTATTTGCAGGATATGACATGCTTAAGATAAAGTCAACAGGTTAAGTTGACAAGCAGAATGGATTGGACTGTAACAAGGGCGCCGACCTGGAGTTTATTTCCCAAATTGACGTCATATCCAGGAGGGATAGGGTATACATCGTGGAACTTCCTGAGAAAACGTCTTCAGAAAAACGTTTGCCAGTACAGTTTGAAACGGACGCAGAGTATTGTTCTGTGTGTTATGTGGTCAGTGTGCCTTGTATTTGTGACTTTAGTTTTGACAGTAGCTGCCCAAGAAGACCCAAACGTTTATGCATCTTATACAACGTTCAACGAGAGCGTGAATTTCACTCATGTAGTAGTGGATCCTGACACTGGAAGGGTCTATGTCGGTTCCACCAATTGGCTCTACCAATTTGACAGTTCTTTAAAACTGGAGATGGAAATTAGAACAGGCCCTGTAGAGGATAGTATCCAATGTTCTCCTACTGACTGTCTCCACCAGAAGAAAGTGGCCACTACAAATGTTAATAAAGTCCTAGTCATCGATAGTAAAGCAGGCAAGCTAATTGTCTGTGGTAGTGTGCATCAAGGAGCCTGCCGACGTCACCAACTTGAAAACATTGGGAGTGTTGAAGACTTGGTTCCTGTTCCGGTAGCTGCGAATGACGAGAACTCTTCTACATACGCTTTCATAGGGCCTGCACAGTACTTTGGTTACCCCTCCAGGGTTTTGTATGTGGCGACTACCAACAGTCGTTTGGGACCATATCGTGACATGGTTCCTGCTATCACAAGCAGAAGCCTCGAGGAGGATAGTGGTCGCCTGTTTGGAATTATCGAGAAATCCTTCTCCACCATTGCTAGGGTGGACATTAGCTTCCATTTGCGAGACTACTATCTGGTCAACTATATTTACGGTTTCCACTCAGGTGGCTTCATCTATTTTGCCACGGTACAAAGGAAGTCTCATTTAAGGGCTTTAGAGGAGTGGGGTTATGTGACCAGACTGGCACGAGTGTGTGCATCCGACGCAGGATATAACACCTATACAGAAGTGACGTTACACTGTGTGGAGCCAGACGGCACTGACTTCAACTTACTCCAGGATGCATTTGTGGTTCCAGCTGGTTCTGATCTTGCAACAACTCTCCAAATTGACGCAGGTTCTGATGTTTTTATTGGCATATTCGCTTCAAGTGCTGATCACACTTCTGCGTCCTCCCCTCCTTCTGCTGTTTGTGTTTATTCCCTGGCCGAAATTGAACAACGTTTTACAGAGAATATTCATATGTGTTACAACGGCAGTGCGCTTACTCGTAATATGGATTACATAGCCGGGAGTATTGAAGATTGTCCCGAGCCCGGGGTAAGTAAGAAGCACCAAAGTACAAACTTTAATGATTGAGAGATATACATGATATCACAGAATGATTTGAAATATTAATTAATAAGAGATTGTTCATAAAAATAATTAATATTTCAGAGGGTAACAGATGAGTTTACTTTGTAATCACAGACCAAAATACACGAATGAGTGAGTGTCGTACCCAAGTTCCTCAATGAAAGTTTCTCCCCTTTTCCAACACCGCACTGTCAATAACGCCCTATTTTCAGTAGAGTAATATTATTTTAAAAAGTAAACATTTAAAGACAGTAAGAAACAGTTTAAATGCTATTTTGTTCTGTATTCGAGGAATGATTTTCCTTTAGATACTGTCATTCCAGCAAGAGCTCTCACTAGCGCTATTGATATTTTAAGCAGTAATATACATATCATTACTGAAAAAAAAAAGAGAAACCCAAATTTTACAGGACGCGAATATAGTTGTGCCTGGTGCCAAACGCTCCTACAAATCACGTCGGACACGAACTTTCTAAAGCCCGTGTCTGATTGGTAAGATATATTTCGCGACGATCGTCTCACAGATAAAACAACATTGTCATTTCCAGCCAGTATAAAGGGAAGTGTACTTTGAACATAAAATAAAATGTTGTATGTCTGTACTATGAATTGATGATTTTTCAGCCTGAAACTATTACAAACAAATAATAAAAACATTTTGTAAATGTCAAATGATGTAAGGATGGCAGTGCCAAAAAAGAATTCAAACAAGAATGTAGGGATGATACAGCTACACATAGATCATCCCTACAGAACTTTCAATATGTTACACTGTAAAATGCATGCGTGCAATATGGTTACGAGGTCGGTCAATTCGACAAACCTCATAGCGAGAGTCTGTACTAGTCTGTAATAATCAAGTTATGTTTTGACTCAACTTGGTTTTCCTTGGACGTAAGTTCTAGGCTCTTAATTACACTACATCGATGCCTACCCTGACCATGATACTATGATAAACAAACTGCATATCAACAGTCAGCAATATATAACTTCCAAATGCAATAATATTAAAGTCAAGTATGCATTTTACAGTGTAACATTAAATTTTAATATTGAAAGTCATGTAGGAATGAACTACGTATAGCTGTATCGTCCCTGTATTCTTGTCTGCATTTTATTTTTGGTTCTGCCATCCCTATATAATTTTACATTTACAAAATGTTTTTTATTACTTGTTTTGTGACGGTTTTTTTCCAGTATGTAAGCTAATGTATTATATGAATGTATGTAATAAAATTTAATATTATGTGTATTGATTTTCTTTACTCCATCACTTCATACATAATATACGGGTTGGCTCCCTATGACTGTAATATGTAGAATACCCAATGCTTTGTACATCTATTATTGGCTGGTAATTCCTCTTTCACCCTGTACTTAAGCTTTTTAAGGAACACCAGATTTTTCTAAAAAAAGCTAACATCAAGAAGGAACGATAACATCATTTACACTAGACTTTTTTTTTAAATTACTACTAGTTCTTACGATTAAGCGATAACATCATGCTCTGCCAGAAACATATAGACTAGATTTAGGTTTAAATTGACGTTAGTGATAAAGTAGTTGTAGAGTTATCTAAAAGAAAGATGAACAATTTGATGGGTTGGTCACTTTCTGGTTTGGTATCTTAGCAATAGTTTCTTGCTTTGTTTTGGGCTTGTTGGGTAGAGAAACAAATGAAAGTGAGTGGTAATCATCTTTTAAAGTAAAACTCTCTGTCATTTTTGATGATACAGGGTTTAAAGTTTGCTTATATTGTCTATATTAACTTGTAATTCATTTAGCTGATTTCTGATGTGACCAAACAAAGTGTCGTCTTACTAGGATTCGAATCGCGTTGGACATGTACAGAAAGTTAATGTGTGTGTGTATATATAAATATAAAATTATTATTACTTGCTTTATGTTATATCAAAACCTAGACCTTGATTAACATTTATTTGATTAGTTAATTCTTATAAGATTAAGGACAAATACTAGTTCATAATTTATACTTGTATTCTACTTAAAATAGTAAAGAATTGAAGACACCTTCTCAAGTGCGTTTCATATTTTAATCTCTGATACATTTCAAGGCGTACATAAGATATTCCACAAAATATCTGCATAAAATGCTTTTGGTTTTTCTATAGAGTTATTTTAAAACTAAATGATTTCGATCAAAACTCGATGAATTTGAAAGAACTGCTTTTAATTCTCTCCTTCATCTTGGCATTTTTTAAGATCACTTGACAGATTTTTACTTTAACTACATGGTTTAAATATTGATGAGCTGTCTCAAACCAATACTTTACTTAGAGTAAGAGAAATTTTGCTTCTTTCTTTGGTTCGCAAAAATTCTTTTGCAAAGCTGTGAAGACCTTCGAAAGTAAACCCCTGCGGGACCGTTAGCTAATTGGATGGTATTGTATTAGTTCCACTACAGTAACTAGAGTGGATGAATTCCGTATGTACGCACATTTAGCACGTAGTCGCCGTAAAAAAAAACGCTGCATAATTTAATTTTACATTTATATTGAGTGATTTCATCAAAAGAAACTGACCCAATGTTAGCTTTTGTTTATTTAAATTGAAAATATTTTATGACTTTAATTTTTATCGGTTGTTTTATAAATTAAACAAATTGTTTTCTGCCCAAGGTTTGTAGAATGATAGTTTTGTTTGATATTCGTATTACTGACAAGTTTTCATTTTTCTTAAATAATTTGTTGTATTTATTGATCATAATTTTTTCAAACGTCTGCTTTTCTCACATCTACACTATTCAAACGTTGGTTCAACTTTGTTCATTTTAAGTATATAATTAGTCTTGGTTGTTACTGTACTAGGAATTGATTTTGAAAAGCGTATTATGGTAAGTAGGCATTTTGATCTTTTTTAATGAATTAGATAATTAATTAGTTTAAAGTTCATGTTTCAACGAAGTTTACACTTCAACCCTTCTGAATCAATCGCAGTTTTACAAGTCACACACAAGTGAGGTTTCTAAAATGCCTGTAGTTTCCGAGTTAATTATTAAAAGCAACCTTTTCTTCTTTTTATAGTAAGTGAGACTAGCTTTGTGAACTAAATGAATGATGTATATAATGACCCCAATAACTGCTGAAGTGGACTTCTTGGTTCTGAGAGAATGGGTGTTATCCTATATTGCGATAGAGTACGTGATTCTGAGAATTCGTGGTTCTTCTTCCTTTGTTACAAAAACGCGCTCCGTAGTTTGGAATCGTGGGTACACAATAAAAGTGACGGTCATGTCTCACTATTCAATCATATAAGAGTAGATCAAGAGTTGGCGGTGGGTACTGTTCAGTAGTTGCCTTCTTTAGTCAGTCAGTTCCCAAATTAGAAACGGCTATGCGCATATAGCCCTTGTGTAGTTTGATGAAAACTAAAATAAACATTGTTTTTGAAACCGAAACTGCTTTAATTCAACTTTTCAGCGTAACATTCAGTTGAGACTATTTATGAAAACCTTAACCAATGTAGGAAAAACAATTTATTTTCTAACGATAATAATCGAATTAATTGGAAAATCATTCCGAGTTTCAAGATGTTAAAATTAAATATGTTCGAGAGTAAATTCAAACATGTTGAGCACAAAAACATGCACAGTGTTTTGAACTTCATTTTTCACTGCGCAAACCCCAGTAATTCGTATTAATTCCATTGTAATTTTGTTTCATGCAAAATAGCCTGCTATGTAATCAGGTTTTAAGTTTCATTGTCACTACAGCTAAGAGTTTCTAAGGTTTTGTGAAACGGTTTTTAGATATTGTACATGAAATATTATTGTATGAATACCAATAGTCAGTCACCGAGTTCAGGAGAGGTATGGAACTAATCGTAAGTTTTGATTGTTTAATTATTATTGTAGTGACGTCAGTACATAAACAATGAATAATAAATACCCTGTATCAAGCTGCTTTCTCACGTCGATGGTGTAGAAATGTCGAGACAAAGCTATTTTATGAAATATGGCTACCGTAAATTTTCTAATAAACATTAGAGCTTATCTTACAGTGCAATATTTAATGCATTTCGAGGCGTTAAGTATTTTACAGTTTTGAACATACGATGTCTGATTGAATGTCAAATCTTAAGATTGATTTTCCAGGGAGTTTAGCACTGGGTTTAATCCAGTGTGGCAGTTTTTGTTTTTGAATTTCGCGCAAAGCTACACGAGGGCTATCTGCGCTAGCCGTCCCTAATTTAGCAGTGTAAGACTAGAGGGAAGGCATCATCACCCACCGCCAACTCTTGGTCTACTCTTTTACCAACGAATAGTGGGATTGACCGACACATTGTGACGCACCCACGGCTGAAAGGGCGAGCATGTTTGGTGTGACGAACATTCGAACTCGCGAACCTCAGATTGCGAGTCGAGCGCCCTAGCCACCTGGCCATGCTGGGCTCAATGTGGCAGTACACGAAACAAGATACATGAAAATTGTTGCAGTTATTAAATCAATAAATATAATTCCGGTTTTCATTCTTTACAGTTTATTATTTGTAAACATTAACGTGAATTCTGTTACTTTTGATCGATAAAATCAGCGATGATAAATTTATAAAAAGTACATAATGTGTACTGATAAATAATGTTTTTTGTATAGTTTGGGCTCCTATTCGTGAGGCCCCCAGTGGCACAGCGGCATGTCTGTGGACTTATAACGCTATAAACCGGGTTTTGATACCCGTGATGGGCAGAGCACTGATAGCCCATCTTTGTGCTTAACTATAGAAAAAAAAAACCAACAAGCAACAAACCTATTCGTGAGATCAATTTGTGTATTTTAGATTCCAATAATGTTCTGACAAGTTTATTCTATTATTACGATAAAAAAATTTATTTTGTAAACACAAGTTTGTAAATATAGGATATATTTAAAACTACAGAAGTTACACATTTTACTGTTCATGGTTTGATGTTGTGTTTGAATTAATCTTAGTTATATATTTTGTAATTTCCAGAAAGGAGGAAACATCTTTAGTTTTTGCATGGAAACCCTGAAGTTGAATGGAACAGTTCCGATCACAGTGACCCCTGCTCTGACCTTTTTCAACGTGACTTTGACTGCAGTAACCAGCATCACCACTGCCCAGCACACTGTCGCTTTTGTCGGAACCGATACAGGGTATCTGAAAAAGGTTGGACTGATGTTTGTTTTTGTTCTTATTGATTGATTGTGAGTAATGTCTTCAAGCGTCGTTTAGATAAAAGTAAAAGAGACTATATACATTACAAGCAGGCTTGTTAGTACATTCATCCTGATATGATTTCTTTCCTTAGTGATCTTGGCCTGGCATGGCCAAGTGGTTACGGCGCTCGACTCGCAATCTGAGGGTCGTAGGTTCGAATCCCCGTCCCACCAAACATGCTCGCCCTTTCAACCGTGGGAGGCGTTATAGTGTGACGGTCAATCCTACTATTCGTTGGTCAAAGAGTAGCCCAAGAGTTGGCGGTGGGTGGTAATGACTAGCTACCTTCCCTCTAGTCTTACACTGCTAAATTAGGGATGGTTAGCGCAGATAGCTCTCGTGTAGCTTTGTGCGAAATTCTAAAAACCTAAAACCTAACCTAAACTTTAGTGATCTAAAGTAAAATTAAGTGATCAAACCTTAGCGCATCATTTGCAATTGAAAATTACACCTTCAGTTGGATTCGTAAAGTTTTGGAACAGTGAACCTTGATAACGTCACAACTCCAATTACGATAGCAGTTCTATATTTCGACAACTAGCTCGGTAAATGTAACCACAGTTTTATTTTTTGGCCACATTTTGTTCCAAATTTGCAATAACTACACTACACAAAAGTTAAATGTTTTAAATCTTTTCAAACCATCGCCAGTCTCACTCATCAAAATAGAGGGGAGTGGGCAAAAGTGACTACAAATACAGTTGTTTCACTTAAAACATCGTTTAATTTCTAACTATTACCTTGAAACAATAATTGAATTGATTTGAAAACAGTGAGCAAGGTCTTTACATCTCATAAAATCAAGTAATTAATTATTGTATTCAGAAGTATACTGCTTTTTCTGTGTGATAGCTCCCCAACGGCACAGCAGTATATCTGCGGACTTACAACACTAGAAACCGGGTTTCGATACCCGTGGTGGGCAAAGCACAAATAGCCCATTGTGTAGCTTTGTGTTTAACTTCAAACAAACAAACTCAGTGTGATATCTAATATACCGTTGCATTGGTTAACTTATTGATTTCACTTCTTATCAACCTGTCAACGAGATAATTTACACTACTCTGGTTAGTTTATTGTCAAATGTTGGTAAAAATGGTATTTATAGTAATACAGTTGTGTTTTCAGCGATATTTAGTAGACGTCGAAACCTTTTTCTAGTAATTTAGCCCATCTGATGGTCGGCTGTTGTGATGAAAGCTAGAGAAACTAATCTTTTTAACTGAAGCTTCCAGTTTTAACAACTGGTTCTTATCAGTCAACAGTCTCAGTGGGAAGCACATCCATGCATCCGGCAGTAAGACTCAAACTGTTTCTTTTCACAGACTCTTTACCGCCCTTTGGTACTTGGCCTAGGTCCTCAGTCTGTCGGAGTTTTTTGTTTCAATTGCAATGCGCTAACAAAACAGGACTTTTCGCTTTACGCATTTTTTCTTCTTGCCAGCTGACTACAATTAATTGGTCTTATTAAGTGAATGATGCCGATGTTATTTTATTTAAGAAGAGTTGTGACCTTGTCAGAATGTATTCTGTGTAGAAAAACTCTTAGTTTTCCACCGTTATAAAACTGTTTGTTAACACGAGTTGCCGTATCTTGTTAACGTTTATAGTTGTTGGGTGAATACCTAAAATATTATGTGTATTAGTTCAATAATAATTCAAGAATACCTGAAATATTACCTTTATTAGTTCAATAATAATTCAACTTCAGGTTAATCTAATATGTAAACTGATTTCACTTAATACATGACATTTACAGTGCCATTCTGTATGTTAATAACAATTATAGAACAGCGTTGAAAAAAATATATCTATAAAATTAATAGACTGGAACGTTTACGAGTTCTTGGGAATAAACTCGTCCTAATTTTTTCAGGTGCCTTTATGGTAAATGGTAAGTGAATTCCTTTTAGAAATGTGCATTTCCTGCTTAGTGTTGACCTCAGTGTATTTATCCCGGTTTTAACAGAGAAATTGATTAACCTACCCTGCTTGAACTTAGGAGGTCATTTTCCAGCGAAGTTTAATCATTAACTTCGAGTAAGTGCTTATGTCGTGCGCTTATCAACAGCAATTGACCCCATACTTAATCATATAGCGGTGCAAAGTGGGGCGTTGGTAGAGTTCAGTTTCCGTAGCATGTAGATACTTCATCATATGGATTGTCGTGAAATGTCATTCTACTTGATATCTAGCATTTCAGAAGGTTTTTCTTACTTTAAGGCAGACTTAATTTTAGAGCCTTCTCGTTTATTCAGATTGCATCTTGAACTTGGTGTAAATATTATATCTGATTTTGCGTGCGCGTGTGTACGTGTAACTATGAATAAATGGCTGTTGTGGTACTTTGAATTATTATTTATATATTTGCAAAAGGTACTTCGTGTACTTCAATTGAAATGTCAAGTAAGCAAAGTAACAACCATAAACCATATAACTAAGTTTCCGCGAAAAGTCCAGAGATTAACTATAAGAGTACTTGAAGACACATATTAAGTATTAAACATATTTTTCCATAGGATTGTCTGCAGACTTTTTAAAGCGAATTACCCAGAGGTGCAGTGACTTTTTTTATTGATCTAAGAGATATGCTGTTAAAGTAGTTAACAGTATTTAAAGCGTATGCATCTCTTTCAACTGTTTCGTTGTTTGTATATAGAGGAAGTATAGAATTAATTAAGTCCATCAGAATCTGAAAGAAAAATAGCATACTCTGTAATGTTTAGCTTTGTTTTAGTCAGTGGTGCAGACAAGCATTCACTACTCCTCTGGTTTTAGTGGGATAAAGTAGAGAGTGAACAGCATTTTAATGTCCTTCATAACGTCATTAAACAAACATTTCTTGTAGAATAACTTTCCAATTTTGTTTGTTTCTCTGATAACGCGGAACGTGTTTGATTACTCCAATAATATTAAACGGAATTTATTTTTACTTCCGTTTCCATAGAGAGTAACACGTATATAATTTAACATTATTATCGTTTCGCATTTCAATTGCTTTTGATATGAGAATTATCTTCCGTTAACCACTACTTCGTCCTCAAAACTAGAAAGTGATAATAGTGACACATGCAATAACAAATAAAAAGAAAGGTTTATTTTTACCTTGTCATATGCAGTCCAAATTGGTAAAACTGAAAGATACATAGATAGACAAAAATGCTTATAAATACATTGACAGACAGATAGATGCAGATAAATAGTAGCACGTGGACAAAACTAGGCAACTGGTACTATATTGTAATGTAGATGTAGACGGATATAGAGATAACGTTAAACAACGGACGTGTATGTAGATCGTTATATAGAGACATGCAGACAGACAAAGAGAAAGCGAATAAGAGGCAGATTTATTAACAGATGTGCATATCGGTATATTGAATATACTCAGGTACTGATTAACAGTGGAGAAGACGCCGAGGAGTTTGAAGAGGTGGCTGTTGATCCAGGTAACCCAATTATTTCCAACCTCAATCTTGATGCCACAGAACAGTTCATCTATGTGGCTTCGCCTTACAAGGTTCGTTTTGATGTTTCGCTGCAGTGCAATGTGTGCTTTGGACTTTAAACCACGTGACATAGTGAATTAAAGCTTTGGCTGAAAGTCCATTTATATTTCATGAAAACTTGTAACATCATCATAGCACTTGTTTTTATTTAGCTTTACTTTTCATTGTTTTTATTTAAAAGAAAAGAAAGCTTTTCAACTATGGATAGGCATATTTATAAGTAATAGAAATTTAATAGAATAATAGAAATTTCACGAACTCCCCCTCTTACGCTTTAAAATAATAACTTGATTTTTGTAAAGTTTTATCATTATTTATCAAGTCATATATATAAAGTATTTAGAAGTCATGTTTTTTGTTAGAGAGATCATACTTGTATTGTTCAAACTAAGCATTATTCTGATAAGTATATTAGCTTATAAGAAAGAAAACGTCACAAAAGTATAGCTAACTTCAGGTCCCCTCCCCCCATCCCAAAAAAGAGCTTTGATAAGTCTTGATCTGTGCAATATCAGAGTAATGTTTTATTTGCCAAATAAACACTCATTTCATATCTTAAAGTTCAATGACTCGTGATTTTCTTTATTTTCTAAAGAGGTGTTATTCCGTGTAGGCGTGTAATTGCAATGAATTTTGTGTGAAACCATTGGAAATGTACATTTTCACTGAATAAACCTAAACTACTTGAAATTTAACCCTCTTGTAAAAAAGGACAAAAATAAAATCGGTTGCTTTGCAGATCTGTTTATAATTTTTCTAGTTTTTCTTTCGGTTCTTATGACTTATTACTATCACTAAAATTTTGAATAAATATTTAAAAATATCAAAGACAGAATATTTATGACTAGAAATATAGAAATGCTTTATAACTTTTTCTGTTTTTCGTGCAGTTAACTAAGTTAAAGATCGAACAGTGCCAGCAGTTCAACAGTTGTGAATTGTGCCTAAAAGCCAGAAACCCTTATTGTGGATGGTGTTCTTTGGAGAAGCGGTAAGTTTATAATGAAAGTTGAGTTCGTCCAAGTTGTCAAGGATAAATTGTCTAAATTTTACTCCATAATAAACAAACCTTTGAAAGACTAAAAACGAATATTCATCAATAATAAGCAAACCTTTCAAAGACTAAAAACGAATATTTTATCAATAATAAACAAACATTTCAAAGACTAAAATCGAATATTTTATCAAAAATAAACAAACTTTTCAAAGACTAAAAACGAATATTTTATCAATAATAAATAAACCTTTTAAAGACTAAAATCGAATATTTTATCAATAATAAACAAACCTTTCAAAGACTAAAAATGAATATTTTATCAATAATAAACAAACCTTTCAAAGACTAAAATCGAATATTTTATCAATAATAAACAAACCTTTCAAAGACTAAAATCGAATATTTTATCAATAATAAACAAACCTTTCAAAGACTAAAAATGAATATTTTATCAATATTAAACAAACCTTTGAAAGACTAAAAACGAATATATTATCAATATTAAACAAACCTTTGAAAGACTAAAAACGAATATGTTATCAATACTAATTTATTTCAGATCATGTACTATTATTTGTGTTATTAATGTATAGTAATGTAAAGTTAAAATTATGCATTTAATTTGTGCGTGCACACACAAATGCTTGTTCCATTTGTTTCGTTAAATGACAATTTGCTGAAAAACTAGCTTAATAAGATGTGTAATGTCATCATTTTGCGTTTTATGAGTACCACTTTGTCCATTTGTGTGAACGATTTAATTGTAATTTGTCTTCTGTACTGTTATGCCGTATGCTATGAACTAATTAATGTTAATAGCTTTTAGCCTGAGAAATAATCTTAGCTTCGCATAATTCTTATGAAACATTTAACTTCTCCATGTATGAAATAAACGAACTTGTTTTTAAGTGGATATTTGTTTACTATAGTTAGAACATGGAAAAATCTGACATCCTGACACCGCCATGCAAGATTTGGTATCACATACAGTGCTGTCATGCAAGAACAGGCTAAGATGTGTGGCCAAACACCGCATCCAATCAAAAATCGGGCGGATTTGTAATCGACTTTAGAATTTAACGTTTAATTATTTACTCTGCAGTTTAGGTATACTCGCTGTAGGGTTTTAATTAATTAATTAATGACAGAAAGAATTTAATGTGAAATTAAACGAAAATTTCGACATTTAGAAAACGTTGAAAGATTTCTCGCATGGACTTTGAGGCATATTATCGCCTTGAGAGGTGGTATGAGCCATCACCAAAGTACTGTTATGGTTGACTTAATCAGTGATTAGAATATGAATTATTCTGTCCCCTATTACAACATGAAAACTGTCAGTAATGAAGTGAATAATTCCAAGTTAATATATCGCTAATTGAAGCATTTTAACTGTGACGAGAAGCGAGACACTGATAATCATGACTATGGATCGGTCGTTTCGGATATCTGTAGCTTCTGAGCAAGCTTGTATTTTCACTTCTTAGAATTAGATTGTCCACATATTCTATTCTCTGTAATGATATTAACATATAAAAAGAAAACTAATATGTAACAATAAACTTGATTAAAATAAGAGGTAAAGTTAGCTATGTAAGACGCATAGTGCATACGCTGTTACAAAATTGAAGTCTCGGTGTCCAAATAAAAGGAGATGCGATTTTCCGACACGATGTCTCCTGTCGGTGTTAAATGCAAATAGACCATATAATAGTGTTTACAGTCAACTTAACCGTGCACGTTTCAGATGTCGCCCACGTGTTCCTTAGTTTCTATTGTTCAATAACAGCGTCAGATTAAACGTTTTCACAAGTTTTGTTTATGAATAAACATTAAGCCTACATTAGCATGCCGCTATCACCGGTGTTTACAATACGGGTGATAGAAAAATCAACATGAGTTGATCTACATTTATGAGTGGTGTTTGCCTTAGACGTCATTACTTTTAGAGAGTATAACATTAATATTCCTCAGTGCTAAAAAGTTTATAAACACTCCCTCACCAAAATTAATAAGCCCTATGTGAAGTTTTTCTTAAATTGTAACTTATGCTTTCTTTAAGATAGACTAAAACGAACAGTTTTTCTCATTGTTACATAACAAAATGATACCATTCATAAACTGTGGAAATGCAATCACGTCTTAGGGGACCGAAAATGAATTGCAAGTACCTTTTTTTCTCTTGTTCACGGAATTTGTGAAAACGAGAAATATTTTCTTCGAAAGTCTCTTTCCATGTAAACTCTTATGATATTACTATCTACTTCTTTTTCATAATATTATTAAATTGTGACCAAATGTGTAAACGAAAATATAAAAATTGGCACTATATTTATTATGTATGTTCCTCATAACACATTATCTGTTGTAATGTAAATGTTTGTACTTAAGCGGAAACGCCAATGCTTAATTGTTTACTGAATTTCAACGTAAGAATTTTTTTATAATTATTAAGCATTAAAGTGTTACTTAAAAAACGGATTTTTTATGAACCTAGATCAGATGTATATTTCCTATAGAGGAAATGTAACAGTTATTCGTGGTCAAAATACAAAGAAAACCCCAGTGTCGTGTAAGTTTTGATGATAGTAAACAAACAAAAAAAATGGTTATTTCATAATCCCCCATCAGGTTTACCTTTTTTGTAGAAGAGAAACTTGAATATGGTCAAAATCTTGACAAACACGCTAGACAAACATAATTATTTTAAAACTCAAATCTGTTTTATCACTACTGCAGGAATAAGAAAAAATGAATGCGGTCGAAATTCAGACAAAAATACCAATGGATTGTTTTGTATTGTACGTTTAAACCAACTATTTCTTGCAAAAGAAAGGCAAAATTAAAATTATTCAAAATTTTGACAAAACCTCTAGCCTTCATCATTTTTTTTTATAATCCAAAGTCTCGTGTATTCTTTTTTTCATAAAGAAAAAAAGTTAATTGAGGATGATCAAAATTCAAATTAAACTTAAATAAGGAATAAAAACGTGAAGGTGGTAAAAAATCTTTCCCGAATAAGAAATACAAAATTAAAGGTGGTCAAAGTTCTCTCAAAAATGGAAAGAAGTTTTGAGAGGTTTTTATACATACATACATATGTGTATGTGTTTGTATATAACAAAGCCCAAATAGGATGAATCTGTAAAGTAGAAGAAAAATAAATTTGAAGTTGACCAAAAGACTTGCAAATACACCAAGGCTTAAGCACTGGGAGTTTTCATTAGGAAATGCTCTTAAAAGCTCAAGTATAATATT